CTAAAAAAGAGAAAGATTGTTTTTAGTATTTTTTTAATGTTTTAATCAATATTAAAGAGGTTGCAATATAAAGTATATATATTCTTGATCAGCATCAACAGCCGAGTCGATCTAGCCATGTCCGTCTGCCGTTTCTACGCATAATAGTCTCTCAGTTTTGAAGCTATCTGAATGAAACTTTGTAATTAGTCTCCTATATACTCTCATTCGTTTATATGTCGGAACTGGCAGGATCGGGAGACTATATCATATAGCTGCCATAGGAATGATCGGAAAATGTTTTCAAAAAAATTAGAACATCTTCAGAATTCAACAGAATTTGATCAAATTTGAGATATAGGAATTTTATATAATTCTACAATTTTGTGAACAATTTAATGAAAATCGGACTACTATATTGTTTAGCTCCTATAGGACCTATCGAGAAATTAATACAATTAAAAATTATAACTTTTTCGGTTTTCAAAAGATTTTCATCAAATTTAGGTTATAGCACTAAGCAAGAAATACATAGAGAAGTTAAACAGAACAAAAAAGTACTATCATAATAACGGATGATCCTGGAACCCCAGAGCACCCGAACGAAATGTCTAGAACCCCAGAGTGCGTTCGGCTGTTTCGAGTTCGAAGCATTCTTTCAAAACCAAGCACATCAAGAATTCACTTTTCAGTCGCGGCGGCGGCTCACCTGCTTATGACGTCACAGCAATACTTAGCGGCTAGCGCTTGCATTGGGATAAATTTTTAAGTTATCTAACTATAATTACTACTTATTTTAATTTAGGTTTTTTTTCTAACAATATATTTCTCAAAAGGCTTTTTTGACTGACCAGAAATTATTATTGCATTCTATATTGTTCTTCGGAGCAGACCGCTAGCGCCTAATCATGCGCGCATGGGTGTACCTGCTGCGCTCTTTACTTCTCTTTGTTTATCTATTTTTCTCTCTCTTCTTCTTCTGTCGCCTTATCTATGCTAAGCTACATTTTAAGATTATAAATATATATTGAAGCTAATATTCGATCGGTAGTTGCAGCTCCGACCAGAGAGAAAACGAAAATAAAATACAGCATATAATCGACCTATTCGTGCGTTCGTAGTTATTGCTCAAGGGTGGCAAATTTGTTGTCTTCCCCATAAACAATTGTATTAAAACATTTTTATTTGTTTCAGTACATTGCAAATTTATAAAATGTATAATAATAATAAATAAAAAATAATTATTATTATATTAATTAATTAATTGTAAACTAGAAAATAATATATTTATGGTTTGTACTCATACATACATACTTATGTAAGTGGGATTCGAAATAGGCGACGCGAAGGACGTCGTACTCAAAGCGGTTAAAGCTATCTGGCAACCCATAATCAGTTTCGATATTTAAATATGTAATAGGCGATAGTTTTAAGACGGAATAAAAAGCTAGAAGTAAGAGAGTCGTCGTTTGAGAGAGCTAGTGAGAAGTTGAGAAAAAGAAGACGGTGTTTGTGAAAAGCGAAAGAAAAATGAACTTGTGAAACTAATCTAAGCACTTATGTTTAAACCAATCCTGTAAATAAATTATTGTATGTGAATCTTAGAGAAATTCCCTACAATTTGGGTGCTCAACCGGGATTAACCCAAACATTAAGTGTGAGACAATTAGAGAGTGGCGAAGTGCGTTTCCACACACAAATATATATGAACAAAGATTGCGACTTGTGGTGAAACACAAAACTGGAGGGAACTGCATGAGTACAGTTGCAGATAACTAAGACGACGGCGAAGAGCAGCATTTTTTGGCATGTGTGAGTGCATGTGAGACGAGCTGGAAAACGTGCAAGGCATATAATAACCGAAATACGATAAGCAGTACGATATAAGCAGTGCATCGAAATAGGTGCGAGCCGGAACGGAACGGAAACCCAATTGGAACTGTCTGGCAGACTTTACCATTAAGTCTGCCATACAGTTCCTATTGGCAGACTTTACCATTAAGGGCCGTCAGCCGATAGGGTGCACAGGGGGATAAATGGATGACTGCGTCATCTGCCGTAACTGTGTACACCATCGGTAGTGCGACTATACTCTCCAAGCGAGGGCGGCTGGAAGCAGGTCCCCAGTCGAGGCTCGACCGGGGATGCTGACCAATTGTAGTCGGGCGGACTTAGGTAGTCTTTAATCAGCCTCCCCTCAAGTCAGGTGTGTGATGCGACCCGTGCACACTGACTTCCAGGTTCGCAGCTGAGGGGTAAAGCCAGCTGTGTCTGCACGGAGCCTTCCCAGGGCCAGGCAACCCTGGGTCGTAAGTGGCCTTGCCGCAGTTTTGGGGCGAAGCTGAGGTCGACCTTCTTCAAAGCCCCAAACCCCCTCTGGCCCGCTGCGCTTGCCAGGTCGAGCAAAGCGGGCGTTCATGATATGCAATGAATAATTCAAACCGAGCTTCGGAACTACCGGGAGAGGATAAACCCCATAAACTGTCAACGAAGGACGAGAAGGAGATGCAGAGGCCGAGACTGGTCGCTGCATCTCACATTGTATCGGAGACCGACGGAGAAGAGTCGCAATCCGAGGGGAGAGCGAGTAGCACTCCCCAATCGAAACACACAGGTGGGGCTAAGCTGAGCACCACCTCAGAGATAGCGAAAATGTCTCACCAGCAGAGACGAGCGAGGGTCAACAGAGCCCGCTTCGTTCTCGGCAAGATAGCCAAGAATGAGGCTGAGGGCAAAACCGACCCTCGGGATGCCGAGGACAAGGCCAAATTCCTTGCGGAGATCGTGGAATATGAGCAGTATAAAGCGGCAAACCCGGCGGCGCTCCAGCCCTCGAAGGCAAAGCGAATTCGCTCACAAGAAGTGAGCGAAAGCGCGCCTAAGAGAGCGAAGGACCCACAGGGTAAGCCGCGTGCGACGAATTTTGTCAGCCAGGCAAAGAAGTTTAGCGAGGTGGCCAGAGACAGTCTGGCTATGGCACTGGTGGACGAGCTCCATGACGACGGTCGCCTGCTGTCGGAGAAGTGGGAGGAGATAGAGGCCAAGTTGGCCGACATGGTGACCGACAGGTTGGTCAGCATGCCGACCGGCCCCATCCCCTCTTTCGACTCCTCAGACGTGGTCAGAGGGCACCGGGTCATCAGGTGCGACGACGGGTTCTCCCGAAGCTTCCTGGCGGAGTGTGTGGCTAAGATTAGCGAGCCCAGCCCATGTGGCCTTAAGATTAGGCTAGTCCACGCCAGGGAGATCCCAAGGAGACCCAGAGCTCGCATCTGGTTACCTAAGGGCCAAACTGACCAAGCAAGGGTGATCGCCTGTCTGAAGGCCCAGAACCCAGATATAGATACAGAGGACTGGACCATCCTCAGGGCAGAGCAGGTGATGAAGGCGAGCCAGCCTTTCCTCCTGCTGATTAACCAGCAATGTCTGCCCCAGCTGGAGGCAAACGACCACAAGGTCCGGTACGGCATAAGGAAGGCCAAGATTAAGGTCTTCTTGGCCGAGCCGGACGAGATTCTGGAGGAGGTCGATGACACCAACAAATTGTTGGACGACATGGTCATCGACGACAAATCTCCGGACGCCACCCCCACTAACATCGATGTCGAGAATCGTGCAGATTAACCTGAAGCGCAGCTCGCACGCTTCAGCTAATCTCACGATCCTTCTAAGGGAGAGGGATATCGACATCGGTCTGATACAGGAGCCTTGGACCAGGGACGGGCAAGTCGCTGGACTGAGAATCCAAGGATACACACTACTGTGCACAAACTCGGATGGTAGGTCGAGGGCTTGCATTGTAATCAAGAATCATTTTAACGCTTTTCTCTGTCCCAATCTCAGCACACCTGACCTAGCAGTGGCCAGATTCGTGGCAGCGGATGGGAGCGGAGTTACCCTATCATCAGCGTACATGGCCCATGACGAGCCGGCCCCGCCTGAGCCGGTAGTCAAGCTGCTGCATTGGGCGGAAGCGACGAAGACGACCCTGGTGCTCGGGTGTGATGCGAACGCGAGGCACACGCTCTGGGGTAGTTAGAAGACTAACGAAAGACGTGAGTCACTCTTTGACAATATTATATGTAGAAATGTAACGATATGCAATAAGGGTAATACCCTGACCTTTATCTTTCCGAGCACGGAAAATTTTCAAGGTTGGGAAGAGGTGTTAGACCTCACATTACATGTAGAACATAATAATTACAGGGTCGAAAACTGGAGGGTATCGACAGAACACTCCTTCTCAGACCATAGGTACATTTTCTTTGAAATAACGACACCAGTTAAGAAACAGGTGCCAAAAAGAAACCCGCGTAAGACGGATTGGAACAATTTCAGCGAAATTGTCCGATCTAAAGTAAACAGCAGGAGGATCAAGACAATATCCACTGCAAAGACACTCGACAAGGAGGTTGAGGACCTAACGAATATTCTGAACAACGCCTTCAAAGAGACTTGTAAGCTAACATTCTCGAAGAAGCAATACCCACCGAGGTGGACAAAGGAATTAAACGAGCTCAGGAAGAGCGCGAGAAAGTCCTTTAACCACAGCTATGCAACCCGGGATTGGGGAACATATAAAGAGGCACAAAGAATTTACAAGAAGGCCAAGAAAGAGTCGTGGCAAAACTACTGCGAGTCACTGGAAGGCATAAAGGACACGGCGAGAGTAAGCAAAATCCTCGCCAAAGGGCACATAAGCCCTACCCTGATCAACAGAGCAGACGCCTCTGCTACGACGACAATTGAGGAGTCACTAGAGCTACTAGTTGACACCCACTTCCCAGGAAGCCTAAGAGTGAGCTCGGAACCCGAGGAGGGAACGAGCTCTCAAATGGATACACCTACGAAAGACATCATTACCACTGAGCGAATTCAGTGGGCAATAGATTCTTTCGATAAGTATAAAAGCCCGGGCCCAGACGGCTTAATACCGGCAATGCTACAATCAGCTAAGGGTAGTATTTGCAAATGGCTAAAAGCCATTAACGAAGATTGTTTAAGACTGACGCACGTCCCAC